TTAGCATATTCAAGAGGAATTATGATGATGAAGGAGCTATTCGCAGGTAGCAGCAAAAGTCTCAGGTAGACAGTTTCTATGGGGTGTAGGCGTCCCAAGGGGTAACGGAGGCGTCCAAAGGTTCCCTCAGGCTGGACGGAAATCAGCSATTGAGTGTAAAGGCAAAAGGGAGCTTGACTGCAAGACTGACTCGTCGAGAAGGGACGAAAGTCGGCCTTAGTGATCCGACGGTACCGAGTGGAGGAGCTGTCGCTCAATGGATAAAAGTTACTCTAGGGCTCTAGGGTGTGGATGAACATCCACATTTCCTTTGGGTCAACGGACAAAAAGCAAGACGCAATTGCAGTGCAGAGGGGCTTGCACAGCCTTGCAGAGGATTGTGCAAGGAGATGGGGGGCCTGCAGGGTGGGGGGAGGAAGAGGGGGGGGGGGGGGGGGGGGGGGCAAGGCGCTGGTGAAGGGTATGTCATGCAGAGGTTATCAATAGTTATCTTGTTAAGTTTTTGTTTACTGTTCCCAATTTGTCCACTTTGCCTGTCCCTTTGTCCATCAGACTCCTTTCTCGGGCTTTGTCCGTCCGTCGATGAATTGTGGTCCACTTTTCCTATTGCTAAATTAATGTGGGGGGGGTGTGGGGGGGGCTCGGGGGAGGGGGCGCAAGGCGCTGCTGAGGGGTATGTCACGCAGAGGTTATCAATAGTCATCTTTTTAAGTTTTTTGTGTACTGTTCCTAATTTGTGCACTTTGCCCGTCCCTTTGTCCATCCGTCGATGAACTGTGATCCACTTTTCCTATTGCTAAATTAATGTAAGTACGATATTATCGAAAAGTTGGCTGTCCACGTCATCCATCTGTGCCTTATCAGATCCCTAATCTTCATCGCCTCTTTCTGCACATCCGTCTGATTAATTATTCTTCTTTCTTCTGGAATTGGTCTTTGTTCTGAAGAAGTAGCAATGCAGCGTTTATTCCCGGCATCTTTCTTGCTTGGAGAGAAGAACCTGTAGCTTCTGTCTTGCTCCTGATCTCTATTGTGCTTTGGCAACCAGGTGAGTCTATGGGCCTCGCTCCACTGTTGATGAAATGTGCAAAACAAGAATGAATATTCCGTGAGAACAGGGGAAGATACGCTGCAATGTTTTTTTGTCTTTTGTGCATGTGGTGAGTAGAGCAGCAAGCGCTATTCGTAGTTTTCACAGGGTAAACCAAGTGCTCATAAAAATGATCAAATGCCAACGATTGCATGTCCTGTTTCGCGTTAACACAGACCAGTTGGAGTCGCTGCTTTCGAAACTGTTGTTATGACCCTACCGTCTTCACCCGAATAGAACGCCCGGTCATTATGGCTGCATCTGGACTGAAAGTTCCCCCAAATATGGCTATAATGACCAGGCGTTCTATTTGGGTGAAGACGGTAGTTCAAACCATGATGCACTACTCAAGTTTGCAGCAAGTACATGACTTGCAAGTTGCTACACAAAGGCGAAGAGTGGGAGAGATAAGAGAAAGAGAATTGAATGAGAAAAGAAGACGAAGAAGCAGAAGAAAAGTACAAGAAAGAAGACGAAGAATCAGAAGAAAAAGAGAGAAGGTTAGCGGAGACCCTAATTTTCAGACCACTTGCCACGCCATTTATATGAAAACCAAAGGGTCATTTGAATCAAACTTGCCACCAATTCGTAGAGTGGAGACCATACTAAATAACTGCAAAAAAAAAAAAAAAAAAAAAAAAAAAAAAAAAGCTATATAAAACAGCAAGGCAAAAGTGCATTTGCATGAAATTTTGTCAACATCTCAATTTCAGAAATGTTGAGAAATTTCAGAAATCTTAACAGAGGAAATTCCAATTCTCCAAATGACACGAAATTTGGCACACACCAAACAAGAACAGGCAAAAAAAAAAGAAAAAGAAAAAACCTAAAATTTGACACCGAGACCCTAATTTCAGTTTTCGACTCGTTACCCAGGGCCTGAAAATGGGGGTCCCAGTTAACCATTTGTGAAGAAAAAGTACAAGAATTCTCTCAATATCAACTCCCCTTCATCCCGCATGCCTCAATTTCGTCACCCTTGCTTGCCCTTCTCCTGTCTCGGTGCTTATCAATAACCAAACTTACCAAAGAATACAGATTGAACAGAAGGGAATCAATGTTTGATAGATCTCCCTGGCTAGTGCTCTTGGAATGACAAAAAAAGAAGACAAAGAAACAGAAGAAAAGTACGAGGAGACTCTCAATATCAACTCCCCTTCATCCAGCCTGCGTCCATTTCATCATCACCCTTTCATGCCCTTCTCCGGTCCTGTTGCGTATCGGCAACCAAAGAATACGGAACAGAAAAGAATCAATGTTCGATGGATCTCCCTAGCTAGTGCTCTTGAGAATGAAGCTCCTTCGGCTCTTCGCTCTCTAAATTCTCTTCTCTCGGTAGCAAGTACTAAAACTACCATGTCGTCCCTCCACTCGGGTGAGACGTACAGAAGACAACACCAAGGAACTTCCTCCTCTCCCCTACTAGAGAAGCATTGCCATACTCTTGGGTGAAATCTCCACTATAACAAAATCCTAAAAGGATGGTCTTGATGTAGCACCGCACACTACCACCGCCATAGATAAGCCGTCATCACGGTTTCCCACCTCTTACTTGCCCTCTCGGTCAGCTGAGGTCGTCCTCTTCTTCTGCATGCCCCATGTGGCCAGTAACACTCATCTCCATAGCCATACGCTTCCTTCGTAGCCATGGAGGTCATCTCCCTCGTCTCCAGGCGCCTTCTCCGCTACTTATTCTCGGGGTGGATCAGCGTACTTATTGCTACGTAA